GACCGGTGCGGGCGAGCCAGGGCGCCGCGGCCTCCCGACCCCTTTCCCAGAGGTGAACACCTGGAACCAGGAGCCCGGGCGCCTGAGTCTGCACGCCGCGGGGAGCCCCGACCGCCGGCCTCCCCGCCATCCGCGCGCCCCAAAGCCCAGAGGGCGAGGCCCCGGGCGCCCCGCAGCAGCCGCCGCGCCATGCTCCACCTTAGCGAGTTTTCCGGCCCCGACGCGCTGTTCGTCAAGTCCACCGAGGGCTGTTGCGCTGAACCCAGCACTGAACTGCCCCGACTGCCTGCCAGGGACACTCCCGCGGCCGCCGGCTACCCTGGAGGTAAGGAGCGCGGCCGGGGGTGCTCAGACGGCGACGCAGCGCGGGGGCGCACGATGCCTGAGAATAGGAAGGGACTGGGACGCTGGAGTCATGGGGATAGGGGCGAAGGGAGGTGCGGGGATCCTGGGGTATGCATCCCCATTCCCACCCCCACCGGGCTGCCATCGCCTCCGCAGGAACCTGTGCGTGTTTCAGGGCGTCCTTTTGCCTGTGCACGTGTGTTTTGCGTGTGCATGTTTGTGTGTGCGTCTTGGAACGTATGCGGGCCCCTGCTAGATCAGAATGTGCAAAAGGCACTTTGTGTCTGTGCGCACCAAAGCCTTCGTGGGTAGGGGCAGCAGACTCAGAGGCGCGCCCTTTGATGTGCCCAGAGCTGATTCCTGCTCCCTTCTCAGCAGGCGACTTCTTGAGCTGGGCTTTGAGCAGCTGCGGCGCCGGGGGAGACTTAGCCGACTCCTGCCTCCTGGATGGCCCTGAGCCCACGCCCCCTCCTGGCCTCAGCTACAGCGGTAGCTTCTTGATTCAGGCAGTACCCGAACACCCGCACGACCCGGAGGCACTCTTCAACCTCATGTCGGGCATTTTAGGCCTGGCACCCTTCCCTGGCCCTGAGGCGGCAGCATCGCGGCCCCCGCTGGATGCCCCTTTTCCCGCCAGCCCCGACGCCTTGCTGCCGGGTCCGCCGGACCTTTACTCCCCGGATCTGGGCGCTGCCGCCTTCTCAGAGGCGTTCTGGGAGGCCTCGCCTTCCGCGGGCGCCCCCTCGCAATGCCTGTATGAACCTCAGCTCTCCCCGCCCGACGTCAAGCCGGGCCTCCGGGCTCCTCCGGTCTCTCCAGCGCTGGACGCTGCCTCGGCCTTCAAGGGTCCCTATGCACCCTGGGAGCTGCTTTCTGTTGGGGCTCCAGGGAACTGCGGGTCACAGGGAGTCTACCAGGCCGCCCCCGAGGCTCGTTTTCCCTCGATGGGGACCAAGATTGAGGACCTGCTGTCCATCAGCTGCCCCGCGGAGTTGCCGGCCGGCCCAGCCAACAGACTATACCCCAACGGGGCCTACGACGCTTTTCCGCTGGCCCCAGGTGACTTGGGGGAAGGGGCCGAGGGCCTCCCGGGGCTCCTGACCTCTCCTAGTGGGGAGGGAGGGAGTAGCGGCGACGGTGGAGAGTTTCTGGCAGGTACGCAGCCTCAGCTTTCCCCGCTGGGCCTTTGCAGCGCAGCCGCGGCGGACTTCCCGAAACCTCTGGTGGCGGACATCCCTGGGAGCAGTGGCGTGGCTGTGCCACCCGTGCCGCCGCCGCCAACCCCTTTCCCTCCGACCAAGGCGCGGCGCAAGGGGCGCCGAGGCGGCAAGTGCAGCGCGCGCTGCTTCTGCCCGCGGCCGCACGCCAAGGCCTTCGCTTGCCCGGTGGAGAGTTGTGTGCGCAGCTTTGCGCGCTCCGACGAGCTCAACCGCCACTTGCGCATCCACACGGGCCACAAGCCTTTCCAGTGCCGCATCTGCCTCCGTAACTTCAGCCGCAGCGACCACCTCACCACGCACGTGCGCACCCACACCGGCGAGAAGCCGTTTGCTTGCGACGTGTGCGGCCGCCGCTTCGCGCGCAGCGATGAGAAGAAACGGCACAGCAAGGTTCACCTCAAGCAGAAGGCGCGCGCCGAGGAGCGGCTGAAGGGCCTAGGCTTTTACTCGCTGGGTCTCTCCTTCCCTGCCCTGTGAGCAGGAGATGGGTTTGTAGGTTGGAGCGCCGCCGCCCGGCGCGCACAACATCTGGCCCGTTCCCCTCCCTGCTCTTCATCCACACGGGCCACAAGCCCTTCCAGTGCCGCATCTGCCTCCGTAACTTCAGCCGCAGCGACCACCTCACCACGCACGTGCGCACCCACACCGGCGAGAAGCCGTTTGCTTGCGACGTGTGCGGCCGCCGCTTCGCGCGCAGCGATGAGAAGAAACGGCACAGCAAGGTTCACCTCAAGCAGAAGGCGCGCGCCGAGGAGCGGCTGAAGGGCCTAGGCTTTTACTCGCTGGGTCTCTCCTTCCCTGCCCTGTGAGCAGGAGATGGGTTTGTAGGTTGGAGCGCCGCCGCCCGGCGCGCACAACATCTGGCCCGTTCCCCTCCCTGCTCTTCTTCCCACCTCTTTCTCGCACGCCCGGGGGCCGGCCTTCGGTCCAGCTTCCAATTCTCTTGAAGCGCCCGCCAAACACGCCCAGTTCAGCACCAGCTCCGCGGACAGCTCCCGCGGTCCGAGTGCTCTCTCCCTTAGTCGCGCTTTGAGGGAAGTCTTCTCACGCCACCCACTGAGTAGGCACTTCCTTGGGACCCAAGACAGTCTTTTGTAACTGGCGTACGCCCCACGTCCTCCTCTATACCCCCACGTGCCCCCACCCCCCACCAGAGACAGGCTGGGGCAGCGCCGAGCCGGTCTCGCGCGGGACTTTGTATAGCAGTGTCGTTTCCAGCAGCCATTGATGTAACGTTCTGCTTTGGGGTTATTTCCTTTTTGTTGTTGTTAATTTTTGTAAAGCAGACCCTACTCTTAAGCAGTTGACAAAACTGTTTATTTTTGCAATTAAAATTATCGTGCTAAAAGCTTACTGAATCTGCCATATAAGCTCCTGACCCTTTCCCCAGCCTCTCCCCCAGGACAATATGTGCCAGAAAATAAAGAAGATCCCCATGCTTATGGGGCGCGGGCTCTGAACACATTGCACACCAACTGTCAGGCTCACCTGCCAGGCACTGTGGCACATAATAGGCATCCAATAAGTATTTATTAAATTAGTGAATGAATTTAATCACAGCTGACCTAAAGGGTAGAGATATTTCTTGAACTTGAGTGGTTGAAAGGCATGGGTGTTAAACATTGTGCATATATTATCCTCCTTAATTTTCACAATTCCAGCTGAAGCAGGCATATACGCCATCTCAAAGATGAGGAAGCAAACAAATATAAGCAACTTGCTAGGTAACCCTTGACAGGGTGGAACAGATCAGACTCCAAAGCCACTGCTCATTTTCCAACACCAGAATGGAGGCACCTGAGCTTAATAGCACTGCTTGGAAAGGCTTCCTACCAGGAGGTGAGAAACAGGTTCAGCAACTAGAGGGAGCTCCAGGCAATAACGACAGCAGCGAAAGGCTGCAGTATTTCAGTGCCATTTGTGAATACGCAGTGTTCTTGGTGTCACAGAGGCTCCAGCCAGTGCCTGTGTGTCTGTTAAAGAATCACATGCTGTCAGGACCAAAAGTGGCAGCATTCAGATAGGCCACACCCGAGTCTAGGGAGGAGTAGTCGTCTTAGTTACTCTTCCTACAAAGGATCTTCTCCATGAGGCAGCAGCCCACTTACCATCCAGCCACGCACCCTTTTCCTAAGCTCTCCTTCCAGATGAATCCTTCGTGGCTTTGAGGGAGGTCTAGGAAGGTGGGAAGGAAAGCATAATCCTATGCTGGGGAAGGTGCCCCTTCCCCCTTTACTATCAAACTCCCTACCCATTTACACTCTTTCTGGCCACTATGGAGCATAAAAAGCCTGCTGTGCACCCCATCTCTCCTCCCCAACCACTCCTCTCTGCTAAGAAAGGGAGAGGGCCTATGTCCGGAGACTTCATTCTTCCCTCTTATGAGCTGAGCTGTTCCTGAGTTAGGAAAACCTACAGCCCTGTGATGCCAGATCAACCCAGCTTCTGATCCTCTGGCTTCTTCACCCCTTCACTTTCAGACTTGTTCACCTCCCACTCCCACCCCCAGTCAAGGTGACCAGAGGCAAAGTGATCATATCAGAGAATTTCATCCTTTTCTCTCCACTGGTGTAAAATGCTGACCCGTGGCTGAGTATCTTGTTTATAAAACTAATTTGTGGTGAAGGATTTGATATTACCTCTCCCAGGGAAATTAACATTTTAGAAGAGTAGCATGCAGAAGGTAATGTTCAATCCTATGGAGAGGCTCAAATGCTGGACTACCAGGTACCATGATAGGTAAGTGGTAGACTTATGGAGACAATAGATAATTGTCACCACATCTTTTAGTTATTTGTATGGACCACCTGACTTCACTTGCCATGCATAGTAAGGTAACAAAGAGCATAAAGGCCCACATTTGAAGCAATTCCAAACCACACAACCTGAACAAAGGATGAAGTGCAGCTAGGCTATGTGTAGCTGGCCTCTGACTCTTGCCCCCTCCAGCAGCATTCCATCAAGTGCCTTCAGCTCTACTGTGCCCCATCTTGTCCTCATACCCACTGCCTAATAGCACTGATGAAAAAATGAAACTCCAAAGAAGTGACTTAGTAGTAGTCCTGGTACCAGAACCCAGCCTGGTTCAAGAACTCTCCTCTGAGAAGTCTCTCCTGTGTCTCAAGGGACACTGCCACCATCTTCTGGAGCTTCTCCTAGGGATTTTGAGGGAACAAAATATTAGGTCAGTGATAGAAATAACTAAAATCAAACAATCAGAAAATCAACCCGAATCCAGGACCCAAACAGAATTAGGACTGTCAGAGTGCCCATTTTCCTTACTTGCTCCTCTTTCTCATCTGGTCCTCCAAATGTGGGTGTTTTCCCAGACTCAGTTCTTAGCTTACTTCTTTCCCATTTGAACACTCTCCTTGGAGAGCACATTCATTGCCAGGCCTTCAGTCATCACCCCTGCAGAGATGACTTCCAAGTCAGCCAGCCCCATGGTTCCAACCAATGACATTTCCATATGAGTGTCCCACCATCATTTCAAATACAATCCATCTAAAATCAACCCATCCTCTCGTATACCCAATTTCTGCTCATAGTGATGATTATTTATTTGGCTCCCTAGACTCACCTAAGTAACTACAGTTCAGTGGGGTTCACCTTTGTTTCCTCCTTCCCCCACACATCCAGGCTGTCACTTAGACCTGCTGGATCTTATTGAAATTCTTCAGGGTCTTATCTACTTTCATTCATGGTACATTGCTTCCTTTAATGTGTTGTAATTTTTAGTGTGTGAGCTCATTTTCGGTGGGGATTTACCTGGGCAGCAATACTTTGTAGCCTATATTGAGGGTATGTTTACTGAGTAGTTTTATGTTTGCTTCTGCCAGGCACTCCAAGAGTTTCACCTGATGGAGGCCAATCTTTTGTTAATTTCTTGACTTGGGGTTCCTATGCCACACAGGTGTTGTGAGTTCAAATTCCAACTCAAGTAATTATAAATTCTCAGAAGCAACTCCCTCCTACTCCAACCAGAGTCCAGGTCAGGACACACAAGTGATATGCCCCCCTCCCCATACCTTCTGGGATTAGTCACAGCACATCTTATGCTTACATCTTTTGGTCTCAGTTCCCTTGGTTGGTCCATGTAGATTTTCTTTCCTTTCTTGCAAGCTCAGCTAAGCATTTCAGGAACTGACTGATATAGTTTGTGAAGCAGTCCACACACTCTGTAGCAGGAGAGCCTTTAGGTTATCTAGTTGATGATATTATTGAAAACTGAAGCCAGGGGGCCGGCCCGTGGCTCACTTGGGGGAGCGTGGTACTGATAACACCAAGGCCAAGGGTTCAGATCCCTATATAGGGATGGCTGGTTAGCTCACTTGGGTGAGCATGGTGCTGAAAACACCAAGTCAAGGGTTAAGATCCCCTTACCGGTCATCTTTTAAAAAAAAAAAAAAGCACAAAATAAAACCAAAGCCAGAAGATGTTGATTCTTCTATTAAAATGTTTCCCACATTTATCTTCTCTGTGCCTGTGGCCACCCCCTACACACACACACACACACACACACACACACACACACCTACCTTGGATATGACAATCATGTAGAATCATATAATCACATTGTAGTTTGAAGGGGCTTATAAGAATATCCTGTTCAAAACCTTAGTGTATAGAAGAGAAAACTGAGGCTCAAAAGCTTTGGAGATTTTTTTCAAGGGCACACAGATAAGAGACTAAAGTGGCCTTGAACTTGTTCCAAGACCACTGCATATCCATATATCCACTCATTCCACAAATATTGAGTGCCTACCATGTGATAGACCAGTGGTTCCCAACATTTTTACTTTCTGTTGCACCTGAGGAATTTGACATGCACATCTGCACCTGAGGCTCTGATTCTCAAACTGTAGATACGAGGAAGAGTAATAAGAATCGTGATGAGGTGGGATATGGGGGAGTGTTTGACAAAGCAACACAGAATGTCTACTATTTCCTCCCCCTTTACTCCAACCCCTTTGTCCTGTTTGAGACAAACCTGCACTATACCAAATTGCTTCCTAGGAGTTCCACACTCCTACAAAAAAAAAAAAAATACATATTTTTCACCCTTGCAGTTAAAGCCCTCCCTATCTCATCCAAATTCATCTTCCAACCTCCTCTGTCATCTCTCCCTTTCCTCTTTGCCCACTTTCCTTCCCCCACCTGTTATTCAAATGCTCTCACCCTTGAGTTCCTTCAAGGGCAGAAACCTGTCTTGATTTATATTTGTGGCCCCCAAGTCTACTGCCCAGCACACTTAAGTGCTTAATTATTGTGCTGATTAGTTGACAGAAAGAGAGAGAGGAGAGAGAAAAAGTGAAAGAGAAAGGGGAAGGAGGAGGAAAGGAAGGTGGTTGGAGAGCATGAAGCTAGGAAAGAGAAGAGAAAGGAGGAAGGATCAGGAGGGAGAGATGGGAAGAAGCAGGACTGAGGTCCTAAATAGAGTCATTGGGTCCCAGGAGTGGGACCACATCTCTGGCTAGTCTAGGCCTGTCCAATTCTTGCTGAGCCCACAATTCCCTGACTCAGCTCTGGGACCCCGGATATGTCTGTCACTGAGCTTTCTCTCTCTTTTGGTTTCTCTGGCCCACATGCAGTAGGATTCAGTTTAACATTTTTAGAACTGTGGTTCCCATAACAACCAAGCAGGAACTGTTGTCTGTGAAATGTAGCATGGACATATATGCGCACGCATACACATGCATACACACATAACCACATGCACGCTCTACACATACACAAATACAGCATATCCGGGCACACACTCATACATGCACTCACACACGCACACCTACATGCACACATGCATACACTCACAAATACACACACGCACCTGTATACACATGCATGTGCATGGGTGTACACCTGCATATACATGCACATGCATGTGTGCACATACACACATGCACAAAAGCACACACATACATACTCAAGCATGCCCCAAATTGTTTTCACACATTCACAGGAAGCACAGAGTGAGAATAAACACTACAGCAACAGAGGCAGAACCAAGACAATATGTGGATTTTTTGGCTATCTGCAAAAGCTGGTGAATGTAAGAGTCTGCATTTTTTGTTTGTTTGGTTTTGGGTGGCTGGCCAGTACAGGGATTGAACCCTGGACCTTGGTATTGTCAGCACTGTGCTCTAACCATCTGAGCTAACCGGCCAGTCCCCGAGTCTGCATTTTGACAGGACAAGGCTCAGTGGGCTTTATTATAGCAAAGGGATGGCAACTGGGCACTATGGTTGAGCAGACTTTGGAGTTTGGTGACATGAGTTCAAATCCTGGCTGTACCCTTTGTGGACCTCTGAACTTTAGCTTCACCACCTGCAAAGTAGGGCTAATAGCTACTTGAT